AGGGGGGGACGGACCATGGTTCCAATCTCAGCCTGGTAGCTTGAAAATCACTCCAGGTATGTGTGAATGCATACCTCAAATCCCAACAGGGTAGAGAAATAGAAGAGAAGGGACTGCACTGTGACCATTCCCTATTGGGTGCTGCTTTCTCCTTTCTCTTTCCTCACTTCATTTCTCTCTCTCTCCCTCTCTCACTGTCTATCTCTGTCTGGCAAGTGCACATGCCCTCTAGTTTGTACACAAAAGAAAAAAATTGGATTACCAAAAAATTGTAGTTAATAAGGGTACTGTTTATAGTTTATTTAAATTTTAATACCTACATAGATCTCACTAATTCTAGGAGCCAAGAATGAAACTTATGAATCAAGGATTGCTGGTATTCTACAGGGAAACCTGTTACCTGACAACTAAAACGTAAACAACAAAAAGTATTGAATTGAATAGTTTGATGTATGAGGGGAACTTTTTTTCAATTGTTTTTATATATTCTCCTATAAAACATTTTAATGATGCAACCCATCTTGTATCTCAATCACAAGAACATAGACCCAATAAAAATTTGTCAACAAAAACTTAAATTGGTAGTAGTTTATGCTTATTATTTTCATACTGTAGAATGATGTCTCTGTAGACATTTAGAACATGATGTGGTATTTCTAATTAGTGAGTTAAAAGTAACTCTAAGAGAATGAAAACTAGATTACCGCATTGTATGAGCTACCTGTTACATTGTAACAACTTCAAACTTAGTGATTTGAAATAATAAACATTTATTTCACACATTACTTGTGTTTAGTAATCAGAGTGAGCTCAGTGGTCTGGCTTAAGGTTTCTCATGAAGTGATAGTCAAGATGCCAGCCAGGACTGCTGTCATCTGAAGGATTGATTAGGGATAAAGCATACATTTCCCAAATGATCACTAGTCAGGTGCTGGGTATTGGCGTGAGCCTTCAGTTCTTTCCCATGTAGGTCTTTGTACAGGCTACTTAAGCTTTATCTTCACAACAAGGTAGCTAGCTTTCCCCACAGTGCACAATCCAAGACTGAGCAAAGGAGAACAGTGTAAATCTTTTGTGACCTAGACCTAGAAATTGTATACCATCCGTTACACCTATCATATTTCATTTTTTAGGAGTGAGTCAGTAGTACAGCCCCTGCTCAGAAGGAGCAAAATATGGATCCAGTTCTTGATGAGTGGAGAAGCTACTATACTACAGATAAATATTTTCTGCTTGTGTGTGGATCAGGGAAGGGACTTGTTTATACTATTTGGCTTCTTTTTAGGATACTGCCTTAGGAAAGCCACGAGAGGTGTTTCGACTGCCTACAGATTTGACAGCATGTGATAACCGCCTTTGTGCATCCATCCATTTCACATCTCCTGCCTGGGTTACCTTGTCAGATGGCACTGGAAGATTATATATTATTGGAACAGCTGAACGTGGAAACAGTGCTTCTGAAAAATGGGAGGTGAGAGTTCTTTTTTTCTTTTTAGACTGTGCAAGGTCAAAAAAAAAATGTCAATTAGACCTTACCTATTTTAAAATAACACTTTTTAAGGAGAGTTTACATGTGATTTCTTGTGTGTGTGTGTGTTTTTCCTAGCATGTACTGTTTTAGATCTCTTTTGAATTAAATTATAAACTATACACTGTACATATATATGTGTATATATATACACATATATGTATGTATAAACTATACACTATACACACATATATATAGATAGTTAACCACTAGTTAATTGTTAGCATCAACCATTCCTGTTTTGATCTCAGATCACTGCAGTTGTCAAGAATTGCATTAATTTTTCAGCAAATATTTCTTGAGTGCCTTATCTGTGTGAAACATTACACTAGACCTTGACCTGATTCCTACTTCTTGGAGAGGAATTGACGAAAAACTTAATATATAGGATGTTTTTCTTCTCTGCACTCAGCTTTGCTGATGTCTTTACATTGGTCAAATAATTTACCAGCCTATTATCTATTTAGAAAATATTATCATAACATAGAGTTATGTGCCAATCACTAACAAGTCATTTTTACTTTTTTTTTTAAATGGAGCATATTTAATCTGAGGGGTGGGTTAAGATTGCATTGGTAATAAATAAATAATTTCTCCAGGGTCACAGTTTTTTTTTTTAATAATTATTTTATTTAACTTTATTTATTCATTTATTTAAATTTGACCATAGAGGGACACTGTGTGTGTGTGTGTGTGTGTGTGTGTGAGAGAGAGAGAGAGAGAGAGCGAGAGAGAGAGAGAGAGAAAGAGAAAGCCATCCACCAAGTCTGGGACTTGAACTGCAGTAGACCATGTGGGAGGCCAGCACCCTTAACCACCATGCCACCTGATGACCCTGGAGAGCCACAGTTTTTAAAGGAAGGAAAGATGCTGGGTAGCTAATTGAAGGATCTACTGATCCATTTCCTTTGAGTTATACTAATAAGTATATTGTAATATTGCTGAAGTCTGAATCTCAGTGGGCAGCATTTAGTTCTAGGTAAATAAAGTGAAACGATTTTAATGTATGTACATCTTGTAAAATATTTTTATTGGATCAACAGATGCCTGCAAAGACTAGGCTTTAATTATTTAAGAAAAGATAGGGAGACCTCAGAACTACGTGGTTGTACCTGTCTTATATATTACAATAAGTGATATATTGCCAGATTATAGGATGTTCAAAAAACTAAACAGAAACACAAACTCATAGTTTCAAAAACTCATTAGACATTGTGACGTTTTCTATTCTGGCCCCAGTAATAACTTTTTTTTTTTTTTTAAGTGCTTCATCTGTCACCTTCATTTAGTATTTGAGTGTTTTTTTATTTCTTACTTATAGAAACATATAAGATGAATTTCCAAGGTCTACTATTAGCATAATTTTGGCGGAGGTGCTCTAACTCATAGGGAACTTGATAGAATTAAAGCATAATTTTCTTTATGAAGTTTTCAAGTAGGAGCAGACATGAGGAGATTCAGGATAAAGGTTTATGGAAAAAAAAAAAAAAAGCTTTTTTTCAGTTAGATACTTTTGCCAACCATCTTTTTTTCCCCCCAGCTATTTAGGAAACTTGTATAAGAATTAATCTTAAAACCTCTCCAATTTAGTATTCACTGTAACAAATTATAATAGTCTCTTAGATCATGTGCCTGTGGTATAAAAAATAATTTGGGGGCCAGCAGGTGGCATGATGCTTGAGGTGCTGGACTCCCACATGGATGACGGCGATTTGAGTTCCAGACCAGGCATCTTGAAAGCTGCTTTGGGTGCATGTGTCTGTGTGCCCAAAATCCTAGGAGAAGGATGAAGGAGAGGGAGTTACTGTGTGGCCATCCCCCACCCCCCGGGGCAGTGGGTAGTGAGTTCTCATATTCTCCCTCAGTGTCTCTGTTTCTCTCCAGTGAGTGCACACGCCCTATGGCAAAAAACTAAAAACAACAACAAAAAAATGTGGTAGGATTTTGTGTCTTTTTACGATGCATAGATTTGCTTTTTTAAAAAAAAAAAAAAAAAAACTTTTAGGGACCAGAAGATGTTGTTGGTTACGTTGCTGGACTCCCACATGGTTGACCATGGTTCGAGTCCCAGCCTCAGTGACTTGAAACTCCTGCACGGTATATGTGCATGCGTGCCCAAGATCCCAAGAGGAGAATGGAGGAGGGATTGCTGCGTGAGGGAATTTCTTGCTTTCTGTCTCTCTGTCTTTGTAGCTCTGGCAGGTGCACATGCCCTATAGCAAAAATCTCTCTCTAAAAATAAACAAAAACAAAAAATAACTTTGGGTTGTCAAAAGTAGCATGGTGGTTAAAGTGCTGGTTTCCCACATGGCCAACCACGGTTGAAGTCCTTGACCCTGCGGCTTGAAAATCACACCAGATATGTGGGTGCCCAAGATCCCAGCATGAGCATGGAGAAGGAATTTTGGCCCCACCATCCCCCTCTGAAGAGCTATTTCTCAGTTTCCCTATCTCTCTCTCTCTCCAAATACATGTGCCCTATGGCAAAAACTTAAAAAATAAAACAGAAAACAAATAGCGAACTTCAGGATTATATTTTAAAGTTTGTTTAATTATCATTTAAGTGTAAATGGACTTGTTTTTGAGAAATAAGAAAGTTTGAATGATTTGTTCTTTAACACCTTTGACTCCTACCTTTGTAAACTTCCAGGAAATTAACAGGTAAGAAAAAAAAAAAAAAAAAGGCAGTAGGAAAAGAGCAGAGCATTCGGATACACCCGTGCATGCCCATAGTATTCAGAAACCAAGAGGAAGGAATCCGAAATAGATCATGTATGAGACGGGAAGGGGTGGAAGAGTGAACACTGACCACCTATGTCCTCTCTTTTTTGTGTAGAGCACTGTTTTTTACTTGATAATGCTTATCTTGGAGAGAAAAAACATTTTCTTTTTTTGAATGCTCTGTTGTTTTCAGTATTTAAGCCAGTAGTACTGATCAGTTTTCTCTGTTATACAAATAGGCTTTTTTTTTCTTCTTCTTCTAGGAACATTACTTAAAGGCCTTTTATTTTTTTCATTCCTTATAGTAAGTAGTACCAAAATATCTATTGGATTGTCAGAATTCTTTGTATTCCCTGTGGGTTATCTGTATTCATGTATATGTACATTTTTATGTGCGTGTAACTTTTTTTCTAGATAATGTTTAATGAAGAGCTTGGGAATCCATTTATCATAATCCATAGTATCTCATTGCTAAAAGATGAAGAACATTCCATAGCAACTCTACTTCTTCGAATAGAAAAAGAGGAACTGGATCTGAAAGGAAGCGGTTTCTATGTTTCTTTAGAATGGATCACTATCAGTAAGAAAAATAAAGGTAAAATAAATTCTGAATCCCACTCTAGTGGTTCCCATCCTTTAGTAGGTTTTGAAATAATGCTGTTTGCTTTTTCATGGACATTGTTGTGATTCTAGTACCTGCCACCCCAGTGGAATGTGTATCTATAATTCTTCTCCAGGTTATGCATTTTTGAAAAAAATCAGAATGTGCTTCCATAGCAATTAGGCCTTTTGTATAAAAGGAGACATTACTATATAATTTTTGAAGAATTTAGTGTATATTTTTAATATATACAAGAGTAATCAAGTACATAGATTCTTGTGAAGCACAAAATTTAAATATAAAACTAAATTCAAATCAATGATAAGTTACAGTGTGATTTAAATATAAATAAATATAAATACCTAGATGGAAATGAATACCTGTATTTCATACAATCACAAGTATGATTTATTTTAAATTGACTCAAACTTCGTATTTGTTTCTGAGGTCAGGAAAACTTATTTTTTTCTCACCTGATGTATAGGACAGTTCTGAACCTTGGTCTGTTTCAGTCTTTTAATGTGACAGTAAAAATTACTTCCTTATGTGTTAATTAGGAATTTGTCAATGGCGTGAGTTTGTTCCTTGCTGATGCTTAGTTCTTACTGAGTCACCAGTTTTTTTCCCCTTATATTTGAGAAACTGTGGAGCTCGTTTCTCTGATGTCTGCTATTTTTCTCAATAATTTTTGTTGCTTATTAACTTAATTTATAATTAAGTTAATTTAACTTCAGTTTTACCATAGCTGCTGGGCTACTCATTTCCAAACTGACAAAGGCTCTATATAATTTTTTCTTAAGAGGGCTTTCCCTTTTAGTCCATAATAGATGACAGTTGAAAAGAACTTGAGTATTTTTGCACCAAAAAAACTTTTATTTAAATTCCATATTTCCATACAGGTTTTGAAGTCCCTTCATATATGTTTATATATATATGTGTGTGTGTATGTGTAAACAACTTACACATGTGACTAGCTTATAAGTAAGAAAATACTTTGTAAGTAAGCTGATTAAAACCCCTTAGGTTTGTTCTTTAAAGTATTTAATGTAAATTAAATCTGTTCTGCTTATTTCTTCTTTTTCCCAGTGTTGTAGTTTCATCTCTGGAAGAACACATTTATTTAAAAGTTTACATTAGGTATTGGGGAACTTTCTGTGAAGGGCCAGGTGATAACCACATGATCTGTATTAAGGCTCTTCAGCCATGCTCTTGTGGAGTATAAGTGGCCGTAGACAATACAGAAATGAATGAACGTGGCTGTGTTCCAATAATACTTTATTTATGTACATTAAAATTTGAGTTTTATGTAATTTTTACACCTATTTAAATATTTATCTTTTTAACCACTTAAAAATACAAATTCATGTCAGCTCACAGGCTATAGAAAAATAGGCCTGGATTCATCTTTGACTCTTAGTATGTAGTTTTCAGACCCCTTCTGTACATAACAGAAGTTTTAATTTTTCTTAAGTATAATTCAGTGTCTTAAAGGAGCAATCAGGGTATTCCTGATTCCCTTCCCCAAGACACTTGGTTCTGTCATAGCCTTGGTAACTCAGTCCTTAGTAATCTATCAGATTGTCTCAAAATAACACTCTCCATCATTTCTATCCCCATCAGCTTTGTTTTCTAGCCTCAACTGGACTGATCTATTTAGATTCATCCTTCTTTTTCTCTCCCAAGATTATAATTGTAAAAATATTAATGATCTTTGTGGTGTCGGCTATTTTATTCCTTCTTAATGTCTCACTGCTTTTTCCTCATAGCTATTACTGATATAGTGGTGTTAACTTAATTTTGATTTGTCAATTAATACAACAGAGCAGTACTTTTCCAAACTGTGTTGAGTGAAACCTTTGATAAATTTTATTTTGAGGTCAAATAAATTTGAAAATGTGGATACACAATATTCCCATTACACATTAAAGTTTCTAAAAATTCTGAGTAAAAACCAAAATGTAGGTTGGCAGGTAGTGTGGTGGCTAGAATTGACTGGACTCCCACATGGCTGACCACGGTTCGAGTCCTGAACCTGGAAGCTTGCTTTCCCAATTTCCATCTCTCTCCAGTCAACTTCAAAAATATAAAATAAAATAATGACAATGACTGAATTTTTTTTAAAAATATAATTTTTAACCCAAGTCATTTAACTATAGAATCTACTTTTTGAGACTGCTCGTTATTTTCTGTTCCAAATGTTAAGAATACCCTCTATATAAAATATATATAGCGTTAGGCTAGCTCGTGGATTTAATGCCGCTATATCCTGCATGGCCAACTAGGCAGTTCGCATCCCAAACCTAGTAGCTTGAGAAACAGGCCAGGTGCATGTGCATACATGCCCAAATTCTCAAAAGGAGGAAGGATGGAAGAGAAGAGTACAATGTGACAATTCCCCATGGCGGGGGGGGGGGGGGCTACCCCAGTTTTTTTTTAAGAGTACAATGTGACAATTCCCCGGGGGGGGGGGGGGGGTGCTACCTCAGTTTCCCTCCCTTTTCCTCCCTCTCTTCATCTGTTACTCTCTGATGAATGCACATGTCCTCTGGCAAAAGTTAAAAAAAAAAAAAAAAAGAGTATCTTAAGTTTGGCTTTTAAAAGGCAGGTAATATTGTTTGCCATATATAGACCTGTGGAGGAAGGGTAGAAGTTTTTAAATCATTCATGAAATTACCATCCTTTTCCTAAGTATGTATGAATTGAATGTATGACTGTAGTTTAAGAATTAGTGTAAAAACAATGACAAGGCACTTTAGAGTAGATTATATTATTATATCTTACTCACAATAATGTGATGTTGAATTATGTTTTTGACCACTCAGAATGAAGTTTGCAAGTACAGCCCACTTTAATAGAGTAACAATATAAGTATAGATACGAACTCAGCTGAAATAGTTGAGTACTTTTGTTTTCCTTTTTTTTTTTTAAATTTGCTATAGGGGCATTTACACTCCCAAGAAAAAAAAAGAGTATCTTAAGTTTGGCTTTTAAAAGGCAGGTAATATTGTTTGCCATATATAGACCTGTGGAGGAAGGGTAGAAGTTTTTAAATCATTCATGAAATTACCATCCTTTTCCTAAGTATGTATGAATTGAATGTATGACTGTAGTTTAAGAATTAGTGTAAAAACAATGACAAGGCACTTTAGAGTAGATTATATTATTATATCTTACTCACAATAATGTGATGTTGAATTATGTTTTTGACCACTCAGAATGAAGTTTGCAAGTACAGCCCACTTTAATAGAGTAACAATATAAGTATAGATACGAACTCAGCTGAAATAGTTGAGTACTTTTGTTTTCCTTTTTTTTTTTTAAGTTTGCTATAGGGCATGTACACTCGCCAGAGAGAGAAAAACTACCACTATTTATGTTTGATGATAGTAGGCATGTAATTCTTTCTCTGAGTATTACAAAAGTCAGTTCTATAAATTTTTTTATTTTCAGAAAAACCTTCATCCATATTTATAATAGCCATAAAGATAGTCTACATCATACTTTTTCTCTTATCTCAATTTATGGCTCTTTTCAGAAGATACCTGTCATTTACCTGCTGGGAAGGTAGACAGTATGTAGTCAAGGTGAAGGTAGATCCTTCAGAGGCTGATGTTCCAGGTAAATCAGTCACTTTGAAGGTCTAGAGCACTATTATCCAGTAGAAATGTCTGCAAGGGGAACATGTTTTATACATGTTATTCACTGCAATAGCTACTAGCCATGTGTTACTATGTATGTGGCTAGTGGACTGAGGAATTGAATTTTGAATGTTGCTTAATTATAATCTGTAGGCAGTTGTGGCCAGTGGCTACTGCATTGCACAACACAGTGTAGCATAAACTTATAGGACCCAGTATTTTAAAGTAGAGACTTATTCACAGGAAATTAGGTTGTAAATTTTTATCCTTATGAAAAGCCTTCTAGGGACCAGCAGTTAGCGTAATGGCTATGTTGCTGAACTCCCATGTAGTTGACCGCGGTTTGCGTCCCGGACCTGGTGGCTTAAAACTCATGCCGGTTGCATGTGCGTGCGTGCCCAAGATCCCGAGAGGAGAATGGAGGAGAAGGGATTGCAGTGTGGCCATCCCCCTGTGGGGTGATTTCTCACTTTCTGTCTCTCTGTCTTTGTCTGTCTGTCTGGTGAGCGCACGCACCCTATAGCAAAAACCTCTTAAGAAAGAAAAAAAAAGAAAAGCTTTCTAATAGTGTGCCTTTTAGAAGTATATTTAAATATTTACTTATTTTGGTTATAATTAGTATGTAAATATTTTCAGAATATTTTTATATTGTAGTTTTCTTTGTAATATAATAGTCGAAAATATCTTATTTTGTTACAGATAATACAAAATATGTAATTAGTAAGCGTGATATTCTCCGCGGAAAGTCCGTGCCACATTATGCTGCTATCGAGCCTGATGGAAATGGTCTAATGGTTGTCTCCTATAAGTCCTTCAGCTTTGTACAAGTAGACCAAGATCTTGAAGAACATATGGAAGAAGACATGCCAGAGGAAATCAAAGGTAATTGTACTTTAAATCTCCAGAGTTTGTGTATATTTATGTATATTCATATTTATGTTTCTGTTTTGTTTTCCAGTTTGGTTATGAGTTCTTTGAGGGCAAGATAGATAGATACTTAATTTTTCTTTATTTTATATTTTCCATAAGAGTCTTTTGTCAAGTACCTCACCCAAATAGTATAAACTGGTTTAATTTAGTAATTCAGCAATTATCAAAAATGATTTTTTTCTTTCTTTTTTTTTTTTTTTTGGAGAAGTTTTTGCTATAGGGCGTATGCGCTCGCCAGACAGAGAGAGACATAGAGACAAAAAGCGAGAAATCACCCTGCAAGGTCGATGGTCACACCGCAATCCCTTCTCCTCCATTCTCCTCTCGGGATCTTGGGCAAGCATGCACACGCACACGCCCAGCATGAGTTCTAAGCCACCAGGTCCAGGACGCGAACCACAGTCGACTACGTGGGAGTCCAACAACATAGCCATTACACTAACTGCTGGTTCCCTCAAAAATGTTTTTTAAAAGTGTTATTAGCTTACTTTGATTAGATGTTTTATAAGTACTTATTGAATAAGCAAATAATATCTATTTGTGTTTGAGAAGCCAGTGTGATAAGTACTGAAGCTGTTACTTCTTATAAAATAAGCTAGTGGACTAATGTCTGTGTTCTTACCTGTCAGACTAAATGGAAAGCAAGGTTCTTGTGAGCAAACTCTCTGTTTTCTCAATGTCGAATGACTAGATGAAGGTCATGTTTTAGAATGAAACAATTAATGACATTTTTTTTAAAAAATGTTCTCATTTTTTTCTTTGAATTTATTCATGGTAGAGCTCTCGTACACATGAAAGAGAGAGAGACAGAGAGACAGGGAGAGAGAGAGAGAAGCACTTCCCATGGGATCCATCATGCCAAGATCCACACCTGGATGATCCAGGCCGTGTGTGGGTGCCTAAATGTTCTCAGGCCAATTTGGCCTGGGACAGTTGTCCACGTGTGGCTTCCTGTTTTACATAGTCTTGTTTGGTATCAACTGGGCCAAGAAATTTATATGTGTATGTGACAGATTTGTACTCTTTCAAAGTTATCATATTCTGACGTTTAATAGCCAAGGAACTGAATATTTTGCTTAACAGATTTTTACATTATTTAACAATTACCCTCCTAATGTTCGAATCTACACTGTTAAACAACTTAATAATTTAAAATAAACATTAGTTTTGCTATTTTCATAAGCTTGTTATGAACTGAATTCTTTGAAAAGTATGTGGAAATATTAAGGTAGTCAAAATTTGAAAAAATGTTCTCCCAAGTTTATAAATGTATGAATACAGAAAAAATTATACTTGGTGGCAAGTACTTTTTTATTTAGCCTACTAAGATCTTGGTTTACTCATTTGTGATGTGTTTTCGGTTAGATTAGCTAAGATTCCTTTCTGAATAAATTTCACTATTGTCCCCATTGTAATGTTAAATTCTGTTATAGCTCAGCCAGAGTAGCTGTTGATATATCCAGACTATGTGACATTTAAAACTCCTTTGGTGAAATTGGGAAAGAATGAATGAATGTCTTACTCTTTGGAACCATTCTGCTTAGATAGCTAGAACCAGGTAGTTCTTTTTTTTTTTTTTTTTTTTTTTTAAGAATTATTGGGGTCAGCAAGTGGCATGGTGGTTAAAGGCGCTGGACTCCCACATGGCCGACCATGGTTCAAGTCTCGGACCTGGTGGTTTGCTTTCTCACTTCCTCTCTCTCTCTCTCTGTCTCTCTCTGATCAAACTGGAAAATAATAATGATAATAATAATAAAGTTAAATAAAATAATTGTTAAAAAAAGAATTATTTTATCTTGTTTAACTTTATTTATTATTATTATTTGTTTGAATTTGACCAGAGAAAGACAGAGAGAGAGAGAGAGGAAGTGAGAAAGCAAACCACCAGGTCCGAGACTTGAACCACAGTCAGCCATGTGGGAGTCCAGCATCTTTAACCACATGCCACCTGCCGGCCCCATAGGACCATGTAGTTCTAAGACAGATTGCAGCATAAGTGGAACACAGCATGTTTAAATCACTAGCTACTAGTCCAGGTAGTATTTTTCTTGTTTTTCAATTCAAGAATTCTTCCTGAATTTATTAATTTATTTTGTCATAGGATTTTCACAAAAAGAAACAAAAAGTGTTATAATTTAAAAGAAAATCATAGTTAATTAGCATGTTTAACACTTCTTTTTTTACTTTTTTGGAGAGGTTTTTGCTGTAGGGCACATGTGCTCGCCAGAAAGACAGAGACAGACAGAAAGCGAGAAATCACCTCTCAGGGAGGATGGCCACGCCACAATCTCTTCTTCATTTTCTTCTTGGGATCTTGGCATGCACACACATGCTCCCGGCGTGAGTTTAAGCCACCATATCTGGGACTTGAACCATGGTCGACTACATGGGAGTCCAGTGATATAGCCATTACGCCAGCTGCTGGTCCCAACACTTCTGTATATGTACATTGGTTTCATTTTCTGTAAACCTCATAAAGACTTGTATTGTCTGTTGACTACTTGATATTGTACTAATAATATGAATAATATATATTTTTAAATACCTACAGTACATTTTCTAAAGGCATAAAAAGGCACTTCAAAGCAGTCAACAGTACAGAAATTTAGCTGTGTAGTTTTAGTGAGGACATGATCAGAAAACGCTCGCTTGCCTTTTAGTCTCCTTCTATGAACTTATTAAAACATTTTTTTAAATTCTCTAGATTATTTACATTTAATTATCGTACATCTTTGTGGGGTAAATGGTCTTTGTACTAAAAGACATGTGCTTCTGAAAATTCCTTTTATTCCCATTATTTGTAAAAGTTACCATTGACTTATTTGTATATAAAGGGCTTTGCTAGATTTTGTGTGAGAGACATGTTTTATATTCTTCAGCTCTAGGAATCTACTCTGTGTGTGTGCATCTGTGTTTATGTGCATGTGTACGTGTATGGGGGGGTATGTAAAAAGAAGGGAGTAAGGCTAGGAAAGAAGGAACGAAAGGGAATAAAGGATTGCTCTCATTAGTATTTTATGTGTTTATTTCCTAGAGCATTAGGTAAGTCTCAAAGAGGAAATTCCATGTCAAGTGCTATTGCTGCAATTCTTTGATTAAAAATTCACCAAAGAAATCTGTTTGTTTATAAGTAAATTTGCAATGTTTTGGTGAGATGAACACTAAAAACCATGCTAAGATTCTTTTAGAAAGGTATTTGTATGTTCTGGTCTCTAATTTTTTATTACATAATTCATTTTTCTTTTCCCAGTAGAACCTCTGTATTATTGGCAGCAGACGGAAGAAGATTTGACAGTAACAATACAGCTTCCAGAAGGCTGTAGTAAGGAAGACATCCAAGTACAGTTTTCTCCTGATCATATCAACATTGTTCTGAAAGATCACCAGTTTTTGGAAGGAAAGCTTTATTCCTCTATTGATCATGAAAGCAGTACATGGATAATTAAAGACAATAATAGGTATTTTTAGTCTTTCACATATATATAGAATTTTATTTTTTTAATTGCCAGAGGACGTGATTATTTTTAAGATAGACTAAAATGGAATTACTTTGTCAAACAGGATAATTGTTGTTAAGGTTAAAGATACTGGTATAGGGGCAGGCAGGTGGCGTGGTGGTCAAAGGTGTTGGACTCACATGGCCAACTGGATCGAGTCCTGGATCTGGCAACTTGCTTTCTTGCTTCCCCTCTCTATTTCACTCTGTTCTGGGGCCAGCAGTTGGCATAGTGGTTAAGGCACTTCATTACCACATGGCAGACTGTGGTTCAAGTCCTGGACCCAGCAGCTTGAAAATCAGAATAAATAGATAAGTAAAATAAATGTTTTTAAAAAATGAAACAACTTCTATATCACTTGGTTCCTCTCTGGTCAGATTAAAATAAGTAAATAAATAAATAAACAAAAAATAAAGACTTGAAAAAAGATACCAGTATAAATGTCACTTACAGTATGTGGTAATACTTTTTATTACCAACTTTAGATATAATGATAGCAATAATAATAGGTAAAAATATTTATTTTAATTTGTACTTTTAAAGGTTTTTTTAATAGAAATAATATTTTTGTTTCCTTTAATTTACTGACTAGATAATATATTCCCATCCTTTTTTTTTTTGAGAGGTTTTTGCTATAGGGCATGTGCGCTCGCCAGACAGACAGAGACAGAGAGACAGAAAGCGAGAAATCACCCCCCAGGGGGTATGGCCATGCCACAGTCCCTTCTCCTCCGTTCTCCTCTTGGGATCTTGGGCACGCACGCACATGTGCCCGGCGTGAGTTTTAAGCCACCGGGTCTAAGACGCGAACTGTGGACGACTGCATGGGAATCCAGTGACATAGCCATTACGCTAACTACTGGTCCCTAGATAATACATTCCCATTCTTTTAAAATTTTAAATATCTAAAAGGATAGTGAGAATTCTCTTTCTACTCATTCCCACTGTCACCCAGGATTTTTAACACAAAGACACTATTCAGCTTGCATTTTTTTACTTTCAGCAATAAATCTTGGAGATCTAACCATAAGGGAATACATTAAGTGATTTTTAAATCCTTTCTTATGACTTTATATTTTACTCTCTGAAATGTACCATCATTTTAAAACATTGATCCTCTGTTATTGGACATTTACATTGTTTCCAATCTTTTGCTATAGTGAATAACTTTTATGTGTACTTGTGGGTTTGTATGTGTATGTATGAAATTTCACATGTAGAAATATTTATAAAGGATAAATTCTTATAAGTAGAATAATATTTCTTTGAAAATTTTATGTTGAATACATTGTTTCTTATCTAAGTTGGCCATTTACATTTCCTCTGTAGATTGTGTGTTCAACATACACACAAACAAAAATGAAAACAAATACACAGTAAGTTACATGCTAATCAAAAGAAACATTTTATGCACATCAAAATTAAATTTTCTGCTTTTCTAAAGATACTAATAAGAGTGTAAAAAGGCAAGCTGTGAATTGGGAAAAGTCCTGAGATCAAATTATTTGCATTTTCAATGTATAATAGAACCCCTGACAGCCCAATTTTAAAAATGGGTAAATGATTTGAATAGACATATCACAGTAGAAAACATATAAATAGCTGATAAGCACATGAAAAAGCAATCATCATTAGTGATCAGGGAAATTAAAGCTAGAATGAGATACCAATGTATGGCTAAAAGTTAAAACATATTAAATGTTAATGAGGATGTGGAGCACCAGCAGCTTGTGCTCTGCTAATATAAAATGATACAGTCCAAGCTGGCAAGCTGTTCAGCAGCTTTTTATTAGTTAAACATATACCTACTTGTAACCTAACCATTTCACTCCACATCTTTACCCAAGAGAAATGAAAATACATGTTTAAATAAGCAATGAAAAAAGAGCCAAAAAAATAGTAGAGGTATATTTATGCAGCTTAATTTATAAAAGCCAAAACTGGAAACAACTCTAATATTGATGAAAAAGTGAATAATAATGTAATAATAAATAAATGTGATATATTTGTACAATTGAATACTGTTCTACCAAAAAAAAAAAAAAAAAAAAACTAATGAACTATTGATAAACACAGTAGTAAATCAGTGAATCAAAAATGTGGAGTGTGGGGCCAGCCCATAGCGTGATAGTTAAATGGCTGGATCCTAGATGTCCCACTGTACAGGTCAAGTTCCAGACCTAGTGGCTTGAGAAACACACTGGGCACTTATGTGTGTATACCCAAAATCCTGAAAGGAGGGAGAAAATGGACAAGGGATTATGGTGTGACCACGCCCCATACTCCCATCTTCTCCCCACCTCCCTTCTCTTTCCCATAAGCAGAAGCACCCTTTGGCAAAAAAAAAAAAAACATGGTGTGAAAGAAGTACAGACAAAAAAAATATATATGCTGTGTAATTCCATCACACGGAATGCAGAGTTCTAAAACTATCAAACTAGTCCGTGTGATGCGTATTAGAACAGTGTAGAACAATGGTTACCTCTAGGGTGTTGAGGTTACAAGGGTATTTTCTGAATGGTGGAAATACTTTGTAGCTTCATTCAGTTACACAGGTATATGCAGTGTGAATTCTATACTTAAACTCTGCAAAGTTTTGTTTATAAAGTATACCTCAATCAAAGGAGTAGAGATAGGAAGAAAAAAGTAAACAAATTAAGCATATAAAACTATAATTTTCTACCATATAATTACTACCATGTTTCTTTCAAATTTATTATTCCAGATACTTTACTCACCAATCATTTAGATTAATAAAATTACTTTCTTTTATTATATTCAGTAGATCAAGTCTAAGTAATTATTTTATTCAGTAGAGGATTAATGAATACTGTTCAGTACTTAATTCTTTAAAAAGTCAGATTTGGTTAGTAATCAGAATTTAGCTTATTTATAGTGCAACTCAAACCTTCCGATTTAAGTTAATATTGCATAAAGGATAAATTAGCTATTTTTCCACAAAGTAGTTCTTGATTAGTGGTATATGATTCTACGAATCAAAATCATGAGAGACTAAAAAACATACTTCAAAGACAGTTTTAAAAGCACACAGCATTTTATTTATAAAGATATTTGGTACTTTGGCGATACTTTTTAGTATATTAGAAACAAATATCTGAAATAGCCTTTAAAAATATTTTATATTTTCACATATTCTATTTAATTATATTCATGTATGTGAAAGATTTGAGAGTAGTATTTGTAAGTTGTCCAACCAACCAGATCATATAAATAACCTGTTAAATATATCAGTAAGTCATCAAGCAGTAATATAGCAAAGGTCTAGGGGAATAGCTAGGTAGACTTGCTGTACATAGTTTCAGTATTTAATGCACAGACTAGTATTGTTCTTCCATTGAATTTGTTGCATTTAATTACCATTTTGTATTTCAAAAGATAATTATAGTTTGGTGTAGGTAGTGTCATTGGTTTAAAAACAGGATTTTTTTGTACTTGATTAATGATCTCTTTCTTTTTGAATAATGTTCTCAGTCCCTTTGGAAATATTTGTTATCTAGTCTGTAGTGGATGGTAAAATATGGTGCTAATTTTAAAACGTAAAAATGCAGTTGTGCTGAAAGGGTTGCCTTGACCAGGTATGTAAAAGGTGGTTTGGAAATTATTTTATAACTGAAATTGTATGCGTTCTTTCTCTTTAGGTAGCAGCTAAGAACGGTATTTATATATTCTGGTCAGTGGGTAAAAGTCCTTTACATATATTTTTTTCAGACAGACAGAATAGTGTAGTAGTGAAGAACACGGAGAGAGCCAGACAGCCGTACTAGCTTGTGACCTTGGCAAGTTACTTAACTTCAGTGCTTTTATCCCCTTTCTTTAGAAATGGGATTGATAATAGTACTTATTTTATTTGGTTGTGGTGAACAGTAAATGAATTAAAATATGTAAAGTGCTTAAACCAACACTTGGCATATGGGAAGGATTAAGTAAGTGTAAGATGTTGCCATTATTATAATTATTATTATCTTCACCATCATCATTATCAAAATTGCTTTTCCTTTGAAAATAGAACTAAATCTTGGTGTTATTGATTATGTTGGTAATTTTGAAAGCTAATCACAGGAACTCATAGTATGTAAGAAAGATAATATTTTGTATAGCCTCTTAAAGTAAGTGGTTGTAGAAAAATTTTAAATGCTGTAATTAATTCATGAGGTAGTGATAACAGTCCTGAAACAGAATAGCTGATAAGTTTTCATGTTCTGTTTGATAATCATGATAATGATTATTATATTCTTTCCATTGTTTGCTTGCAGTTGTGTTCCAGGGCATGGGTTAGTATGGCTCACATGTAGGGAAGGAAGACAGCACATGGAAGAGGTTGCTTGCTGAAGAATAGCTACCGTTACCCTTACTCCACTTTTCTCTGTATTAGAGTAATGACTGGTCCCAAAGCATCTTACTCGGTTTTTCCTTTTTATTCCAGAGGAGAATGGAGGGCCAACTTCCCTGGCCTCCAATGTCTATAATCTGCTCTGACTCAGCTCTTCTCTTTCCTGCTGCCCTTCAGGTTTCCTCACA